GTACTTAGAAAGTAGGATGATGATCAAGAAGGAAAAGAAGGTGAAAGAGGAGAAGGAGAAGGAAAAGATGGTCCATTGATCTCTTCATTTGTTTGGGTCTCACTTCTGTAAATAGGAGATACATCAATTGGCATATGCATTGGGCTGGACACGGGCTTCACAGTGACTAAAGCCACCACCAGCTAGTGCTTCTGGAAGCAGTGCTGTGCTCTCACTGGCCCAGGTCTCATATCCTTTCCTTCCCATTTGGGTCTCTATGCTTTGGCCACCCTGGTCTTCTTTTAATTCCTCAAATAAGGCATGCTCCCTCTTACTCCCGTGACTTTGCAAGCTCTGATTTCCTTTGCTGGGAGTATCATTCCCCTCCATTCAGTCGGCCAACTTGTACTCATCCTTCTGCTTTCTCTTTAAACATCATTTTCTCAGGGAAGGAAGCCCTCCTTGACCCCCAAACTAGGGTATGTCCCCTGATACTCTCTCATTGCATTCTAGGCTTCTCTGTGGCAGTCATCAGAGTTTTGATTATATAACCACTCCTACAGATTAGTGTTTGTCCATTATTTCCCAGTGACGATCAGCTCCAGGAGGGCAGGGATGGAGTCTGTCCAGGTCGTTGCTCTATCCCCAGAACCTAGCAGAGTGCCTGGCTGTAGCGTTCACTCCATAAACAGTGGGTGAGGATGAAAAAAAGATATTTCTCTTAGTGAAATAATAAAAAACAAAATTAGAGACTGCTTTTCCAAATGGCTGTCTGGGAAACATACTACATAAAATTCTGAAATGAATCAGGCCACTTGGTAACTTGATACTGACTTAAATCTAAACCAAGCACGGTGCTGTCCCATTTCACAAGTGAAGAGTCAGAGCAGGCAAAGGGCTGCTGCAGATCGCCCTGGTCGTGAGTCAACGGTGGGCGCAACCTCTCATCCGTCCCTGCTTGCTCTCGGGTATTTTTTGTGGGATGTTGACATGGCGGTGACTTGGCAGCCATATGGCTGTGAGCCCTTGTCCTGAAGGAAAAGGGAACAACATTAGACTCAGAACCCCGTCTCAGCTGCTGTAGGAGCTATGCAACAACCTTGGGCAACTCTGAGCTTCAGTTTCCTAACTTGTGAAATGGAGAGAATATTATCTTTCTAGAACCTATTTGTAGAGTTGTTTGCAAGATTCAAATGTGCTAATGTGGGTAGAAGTGCTTTCCCGAGAGACTGGCACTAAGCAGGTGCTCAAGAAATTTTAACTGGCATCTAGTGCTTTTCCAGGATGAGGGTTTATTTCAAATGCTGGGAGCATGTTTCATTTGAACTAATGAGTCAGCAACTCCATTAATAAAGAAAAAGAGTACCTCATCTTTTGCTGGTGGATAAAAAGGCTTATTTAGTTCCTGGCCCAGAGGCAGAAACCTGAAGACAATGATTTGATTCCCAAATTATGAACATGTACTTTCTTCCCAGTGTGAGAGGTTGAACAAAGATCAGTGCCATGTTGAATGAAGCCACTCTTTCAAAGACCCTGTGGGTGGCTTGTTCATCCTTAGCAGATGAGACATGGTTAAAGTTTGTTTCTGTAGAAAAGACTTTTTTTTTTAAGATTTTATTTTTAAGTACACCCAATGTGTGGCTCAAACTCACAATTTGGAGATCAAGAGTCATATTTGTTTCTGTAGAAAAGACTTTTTTTTTTAAGATTTTATTTTTAAGTACACCCAATGTGGGGCTCAAACTCACGATTTGGAGATCAAGAGTCATACGTTCCACCAACTGAGCCAGCTAGGCGCCCCAGGATCTGACGTTTTTTGAGCAACTTCTATGCCAGGTATGCTGTTGAAACACTTTTCGCATGCTATTTTGCTTACTCATCTTATTGCTGTGATGAATTATTGCCCCTATTTTCATGATAAGAAAATTCAGATTCAAGGTCGCATAAGCTGGTAACTAGAGAGCTGGTATTCCAGCCCAAGTCTGTCTGAAGCCGAATCCCCATGCACCTCCAAACATATTATATTCTCCCCCTAGGGAAGCACATTCCATGGGAGTAAAGACCAAGAGTAAAGATCAGAAAACTTAGTCCAGTGGTAACTATGAATATTTATTATTATTGCCTAATAGCTTTAGAAATCACCAATTTCCTTTGGAATGTAGAACTTTTCATTTCTTTTTATAGAAGCCCACTGTTTCCGATTTTCTCTTTCTCTGTTTGATGGTGCATGAAACCCCCTGGTCAGAGAGGCTGTTTGGGAGAGTGGGGAAAGCACTGGACTAGGGACGGTTTCTAGTCCCGAGTCTCTCCTTTGCATGACTTTGGGGAGTTCATTCAACATCTCTGAGCCTCATTTTTCTTATGTGTGAAATGAGGGCAATGATGCTGCTGGGGTGCTTGCCTACATTTATGGATTTCGCAAGGATCTATTGAGGTAATTGTTGTGTAATGTTGTGCAAAAGACTACCTTTTTTATTCTAAGACAGAGTCACCCCTTTGCTCCCACTTTCTAAATGCCTATAGGCCCTCTTGGCATTCTTTACCTGATGTGAATTTATGGATAGTGGATGTAATAGCAAAATCTCTCTTGCTATGACTTACATGCATCCTGAAGTGTTTCACTTTTTGCATAGAGGAATGCATTCCAATTGGAGGAGACGCAATTCTATTTTGAGGTTGTAGACTCAAGGCGCCACTAAACAGATTCATCTGCTTTCATTGACATAAAGTGAATCTTTCATTTGTGGATGGCCTTACTGCTCAAACCCCATCTGTTACTGCAGCCCATGGCTTTATCTGGCGAGTCTTTTCACTGTCAGAATCAAAGCCAAACATTGCAGGGACTAATGGTTTCACTGAGGCAGTCATTTCTGTGACCAGAGAAGCCTCCTCTGGGGGTTTCTGTCACTGTCAGAGACTCTTGATGGGATTACAACCCCTTAGTTCATTTTTGCTCTTATTTATTGTTTGAATAAGCTCTATACCTAGCTCTCCATGCCTTATCTGAGGAGACAGAGCCAGCCATGAATGAGTCATAGGGTCCACTCAATTGCATTTCCACAATTTTATTAGGATGGCTGGGTAGATTAGCTTTGTTAAACATGGAATAACTGTTTTGAGTGCTCATCAGAGTCTCCCACATTTCCTAGAATGATTTTGTAATTTTCACAGAAGCATCTGTGAAAAGAGAGCAGGTGACCTGACTGGCTGGGTCATGATTCTGCCAGTCTCAGGGGTAACCTTGAGTATGGCCAAAAACCCTTTGGTCTTGGTTGGTGGTATGGATAAAGTATCATGGAAATTAGGGGGTGGTAGGGAAAGTTTCTCTAGGGGGATATTTGAGAGTTGGGCTTTAAATTATGAACTTGATTTCACCAGGCAGATAGAAGCAAGGGCAAGGGACATTCTTCACAGGGGAAGCTGACTGAACAGAGCAACGCAAAGTGAAAGTTGATAATGTTTCAGGTGTATATATATATATATTTTTTTTAAGATTGTATTTATTTATTTTAGAAAGAGAGAGAGTGTGAGAGCACGTTGAGTGGGGAAAAGGGCAGGGGGAGAGGGAGAGAGAGAATCTCAAGCAGACTCCCCGCTGAGCGTGGACCCTGACATGGGGCTTGATCTCACAAACTTGATTGAGATCAGGCACGACCTGAGCTGAAACCATGAGTCAGACGTTCAACCGAGTCACCCAGGTGCCCCATGTTTTAGGTGTATCTTAGACTATGGTCTAAGCACAGCTAGAGAGGTAAGAGGTTAAGGCCAGGTCATAAAAGGCCTCAAGGACCAAGCTTAGTGGTTGCACTGGGCAATGGGCAGCTCTCAAAAACTGCTGAGCATGGACAGGTGGAGGGGGAACATGATTCAAATTTTTCTCATTAAGCAGTAAATTTCCAATATAAGGTTTTCAAGGTAACTCAGCAAATACCTTATCAGCAAGCCAAAGGGATGATTTTTTGCTCACATTAGCCCTGTGTGATAAGTGAACCACCCTAGATATCTCCATTTAGCAGATGGAAAGGCTGAGTCTTGGTGAGATTAAATGCTCAAAAATACACTACTCAGAGTATAGAAGTTAAAAATAATATTTCAATATCATGCCTCATATTTCTGCTTGAAAGAACCTTTTGAATTCTTACAGACTTCAATTAAAGGTTAAGTAACATTTGCTCTGATGCATTATAAGGGTTTAGATGCTCATCCAAGATTCTGAAATGGAAAGAGACCAACACTACATCAGTACAATTCAGAGTCATTAATACTTAGTAGAGATACTATTTGTCCTTTTAATAATTTCTTAATCAGAACCAACGTATCATTATTATCATTGGCTCTCAGCCAGACTGGAACTTGTCTAAAGAATGCTGTGCAACTAGAAATTTTGTACCAATTTCTATGTCAGCTTTGATAATATAGAGTTTAGCCACTGATGTTAATGCCATGGTGGAGACCTCAATGATTCTGGGAGAGCAGAAGAAATTTTAGACATTTACAAATACCTTCAGAGTGGATGATACTTTTACACAGACTTGATGATAAACCCAGAGAATTCCAGTTTAACAAGGGTTTCAATGTTGCATCTCAGGCCAGCAAAGGGTAGGACTATGAAAGAACTAGATACTTATCTCCTGAGTTGTATTTCCAATCATTATAGAAATGCAATCTTGCTTTTGGGCATAACTGGGAGTAGGTCCATCAGAGTTGAAGTACTCACTCTGCAACTCATGAGTGTAAACTTTGGGAAGTCACTTACCCGTCCTGAATCTCAATTTTCATACCTTTAAGGTGAATTTAATACCCTCTTCCTTGTAAGGTGAATTTAATACCCTCTTCCATGTCATGCGAATGTATTTTGTACACATACATCTAGAGTGGATCCTGATGATAAGAATTCTTTTTAATTTTTTTTTTTTAATTACGTGAATCTGGAATTGGTTCTCCTCAAGTCTTGGATGTTTTGTTTGTTTTTTCTTTGTAAGATTCTACTATAGTGACTCTAACCTTCTCTTATGTCCTAGATTCCCATCCAGAACCTTGTTACATTGTTTCAGGAAAACTTTCCCAACACCTGAAGAATTTCTGTGTTCCCCCCTCCCTGTCTGAGATACCTACTTACCATATCACCAGCTTCTGGATCTACTGTGTCTGGGATCCAGGTTGAAGCCAAAGGCAAGTATCCTTCAAGGCATCCTAATATAAAAATAAATGCATCATTGAGACCAGGAGGAAGATCACATTTTAGGACTCCCCAAAAGTCACTTTATCCCAAGATATAAATGCCATCCTAAAATACCTAAAAACACACTTGATGGAAAACTGGACTAAAGATGGAACTTACTTAAAAAGAGTTTTTTTTTTTAAATTCATATAAAACAAACAATTGTATGTTTATGGCAAAAGCACTAAGAATTTGTAGCAAAAAAAAGTCAAATTCTAAAATTATTATGTTTCTTTTCCAAATGTGTTGATGTACTTTCAACATCACTGGGTTTCAATGGGGACAATATCTTCTGCTCTTAACATTAACACCACCTCTCCTTTTCTCATCCACAGCCACACCCTCATGCTCTGGATGGCTCAGAAATTCCAAGAAGTTTTCCTGCTACTGCACTGACTGGAACAGACTAGAAGGCAATACCACTGATAACAACAGAAGAATCTCAAAGCCACAGAGGCAGGCAGCCCCGGGAGAAAACCCTTGATCTACTACTTTCTGTTCAAAGAGATATTGTACAAGTTACTTAGCCTTGGTCATAGGTCAGATTTTCTTGGAAAGAGAGTCTGAGACTCTTGAGATTTAGGTGAGGAAGCTAACTGGAAAACAGGTTCAGGAACAACATCTGTGATGGGCAGAAGGAGGAGTTGGACCATGATAAAGTTTCAATGGAGACCTCTGGCAATCCCACAGGGAACCCTGGAGCTGGGATGTCTCTTCAGAGTTTTCCCAGGACAGGACAAGTAATGGGGCTTTTGTGCATCTGTGTTGACCAGTCAGAGATGCAGACTGCCTTCAGAGAAAGGGTATGAGATGAAAGCTCTATTTGGCTGAATCTGGGAGTAGCAGGCAGAGTTCCTGAGAGCAGTGGAATGAGTGCCTCCATCCTGAGGGGGTACCTGGGCAGCCCCCCATACTTTCACCTACATGCTCAGTATAGCACAGGATCAAGGAAGTCTACTTGGCCTCTTGACCTAAAATTGCAACCCCTTAATCTCATATCCCCTCTGCCCCATCTTACTTATATCTATAGTATTTATCATGAACTGACATATAGTTTATATTAATTTTTCTATTGTCTTTCTGGAACTGCTCTGGAATGAACTCCAAGCTACTGGAGGGCAAGGACTTTGTTTTGCTCATGACTATATGCCCAGTCCCAACAGGGTTTGGCACAGAGTGAACTCTCAATAAATATTTGTGGGGTGGAATAAATGAATGAATAAATATGACACATGCTCAGTGTTGACTATATGGGAAGCACTCTAGTTCTAAGCACTTGCAGTAACTAATATAATCTTTACAACAACTCTCTAGGGGAGGCCCTATTATTATCCCCATTTTAGAGATGAAGAAACTGAGGCAGAGAATGTTTAATTATCTTGCCAGGTCATGGAGCTTAGAAGTGTTATATTCGGGGCGCCTGGGTGGCTCAGTTGGTTGAGCGACTGCCTTTGGCTCAGGTCATGATCCTGGAGTTCCAGGATCGAGTCCCGCATCGGGCTCCCTGCTCGGCAGGGAGTCTGCTTCTCCCTCTGACCCTCCCCCCTCTCATGTACTTTCTCGCTCTCTCAAATAAATAAATAAATCTTTAAAAAAAAAAAAGAGAAGTGTTATATTCAGGAACAGAATCTGGCAATGGGATCCATATTCTAAAGCTCTGCCCCCTCCTTCCTTTCTAGCAAAGCTGGTTATTTCTTCCCTTCCTCCTGTCCTCTCTTTGCTGTCTCTGGGAATATATGTATAGTAATCACATTGTTGCATGATCCAGTTATTGTGGTTGAATATTTGATGTTTTGTTGGTTCAGACCAAAAGGGGAGAGCTTAGCTGAGTTCAAACTCCTGCCCTCTCTTCCCATTTTCTCAATACTAGCCCTTAGGACCTGATCAATTCCCATTGTTGTTTTTTTCCTACAGCCACTGACAAATGCAGAGGCTACCGTGGGCTCTGGGGCTCTTCTGTATGCATTACGTCATTTGATTAGCCCGACAGGCAGGGGATATGGGCAGTACAAGAGTGGCCATGTGAAGTTTGCAGATGAGAAAATAGAGGCTCAGAGCCGGTTATGAGAAGCTACTTGGAATCAGAATTGCTGGTTCTAAGTCCTATATTTTGCTCTATCCTGCTCCTTCTTTTTCCTCATTGGAGGCTGGAGGGCAGAAATGAAGCCTGGAGCATTTCTGCTGTCCGGATTCAGTGACAGTCACTTGGAACATTGGTGAGCATTTCCCATTGGCTTCCCTCGACTTGGCAAATGAGGAAACAAGAAGTTCTATGATTTACCCAGGTTATATAGTGATATCACTGGGGCCGGGAGATTCATCTCAAGGCTCACATGCTTTTTAGCAACCCAACTGCTTCTTCTAAGTTAACAGTTCTGGGGCTACTTACTCCATCCACCTCTCCTTGAGTGCCTGTGTTCATTCAATTCCACCTTTATCTTTCGAAGTAGTAGTAGTGTTATCTTCATATTATAGAAAACGCAAGCCCTAGAGAGATTGAATAATTTTCTCAAGGCCACACACTAATTGTTTCAAGAGGTGAGGTTTCAAACAGGATCTTTCAGATCCTCAAACTCCAGCTTTATTAATTAGAAGCTTGAAGCATATAACCTGAAAAATTTGTGGTTCTAGGAATATTTGAAAAATTAGCTGTCTAATGTTGGGCTAGTGGATGAGAAGCGTGTAGTCTAACTGCCTAATTTGAACATATTTCTGAGTCATCTGGGGGTAGTTGGCTAGTCAAGATGACCATTTAGATTTCTTAGAAAGATAATCTAAATGTTAAGAAAAAAAAAGAAGAAGAAG